GTGGCTGCAGGTGCTAATGAAGGGCGCAGTTGCAATGACACGCCCAAAGCGACATCTTTGTGTGATCGGAGACTCAGACACAATAAGCAAGTACGTACCCTCTTCGTTCCCAATTCATGTCCCCAGCATCACTGCCCTTCCTTGTTGGGCGTATAGCCGATACCTCATCGTCATCGCGGAGTCGCGGCCTTCGGTCATACCCGAGAACGTGGGCGTCGGGATGTGGTCTTTGCGAACAAGCAAATCTGAAACCCGCGTAACTCGAAACTGCCGTGACACGCCCCCTTGCTTTGTCACACGGGAACCCTTCGTCACCCACACCGAGACCAGTCCCTCGGCACCCTGCTATACGGCGGAGGATTCTATACGCTCATCACACCACAGCGCCATGCATTGTTGCTGACTTGATTGATTCACAGGGGCTCCAAGTTTCTAAAAGCCTGGATGCAGCATCTAGAAGACCACGCCGATCTCAGGTATCCCAACTTGGCAGACGTCTACGTGGACCAAGAAAACGGCGGATGAGGGGTGTAAGCAAGCGAGGCTGTAACACATGCGCTGTCACGGGCTCCCAAACAAACAATGTCGGAGTTGTGGTTCGCTACTACATGTTGGAGTGGTGTGGGGAGGACATGGTCTCAGCGCTATGGTTTGGTTCGCAAGCGAAGCGCGATACTGCAGCCATGGTATGCGGCGTGATTTTAGCTGCAGTAGTCCCGCGTCAAGGTCGCGAGTCGAGACAGCTCGCGCCAAAACACCTACATACGCCGAATGTCATCGCAAAAGTGGCATGCGGCATGAGACTACGGTGGTAAGACGGCGAAGCATGGCTTGCATGCGTTTATATGCGCAAAAGAGAAACGAGAAGGGCCAGAAGAGCACGCAGAATAGACAGCGAGTAATGCGCTCATTCTCTCAAACTCTTTATGCTGAACGGTGTCGTGCAGGATAAAGTGTGTGTGGTGGCGAGTCGTGACCATCAATACATGGCGCAATACTATCGAGCAATCAGCGCAGGCCGGAAACTTCATCAAAACGGCGCCCAGCGCTTGCGACGTCGCTTCTGTCAACGTTTTTCGAGACCCTTCGGCTACCGTCGACCAGCCTCCCCTATTTATCATCTTTACCTCAACGTACATCGTCAACACGTAACGCGTGCAGTAGAGTACCAAACAGTCGTGATAGACGGTGTGGTGTGGGCCAGAGCAATGAGCCCCAATCAGGCCGTCGTCGGAGTTAGTCCGCGGACAGCCTCAAACGCGTTAATGCAGGCTGGAGCAAGGATTCCTGTTAGTCTGCACGGCCGAGGGTCCATGACATGACATGCGTCCTGGCGACCCCATGTCTTCTCGCGCTCAGACCTGACGCGACAAGAGGAGGGTTCGTGGAACGCCTCGGTCAGTGCTGCAAGCCGCTATTTGCAGACGCAGAAGGATTAGCTCTGCGACGGCTTTACTGGGATTTGAGATGGCGGTTCTGGACGAGTGGTAAGTTTGAGAGGCCGACAGGGAAGCTGAGGTCCAAGACGTGTTAGCCGCATGTTTCAGAAGGGCTGAAGAGGACAGTGGCCGAGCGCGCCTGCGCGTGCCGTGCAGCCAACGAACGTATCGATTGCAACAGTCCGCTTTGGCGAAAACATGCAGCTGTACTGGACGCAAAACCCCACAGCCCCATCGCCAACAACCTGCACGTCGTTCGTTCGCGCAGTGGTCCGACTTGTTGGCCTCTCATGCAACGCTTGTGCAGCAGCGATCAGGCCTTTATTTGTTGCTGCAGCCCCCCAGCCCCCGTTGTGTTGTGGTCAAAGGTAATGCCGGTCATACTGCTTGATTCGCAAATGCGCCATCAATAATAGCCTCCTCCTTCCCGCCGCGCCCCCCATCCGACTGACCCTCCCCACTCTATTGGCACCCTTGTCCAAAGGGTACATGACGCTCTCGGTCTGATACATAGACCCTAAGAACGCCGCCCCCGTCCTTTTGCTGCTCTTCTCGTTACGTCGTCCGTGGCACGTCTCTCTATTGTTTAACCTCGTCGCTCTTTCTGATCGAGTTCGCTTCTTTCGAGTCTTGGGGGCTATCGTTGTTAATTCCTTATTGCCTATTCTTGCCTTGCATCTATTTTCGGAGGAGGGACGTTTGCCGCGCTTGTCGCTCCGGTCCGCCTTTGCTTTGCTTCTTACCCATCAACTGTTTTCGCAACATCGGTGATGGTAGTCGAGATCCTCACGCTCGCTGGGTCATCCCGGTAAACCTCGCCTAAGCGCAATTTCCAGAACTCGTCCGCAGAAGCGCATTCGCCAACACTCGGAATCCAAAACATCGCAGCATCCATATGCTTCAAAGAGAAGGCTTTGTCGTCGCCGATATGAGTGCGTCGACACCCTCGCCCTCGCCTTTGTCGCGCTCCAGCTGGAAGGCTGAGGCTATCAGAAGAGGGAACTTAAAAATTAGCGGGCCGATCCCTATTACCGAGGATGTGCCGTTGAATGAAGAGGAAGAGAAGGAGTACGCGGAAAATGGCGCGCTGGACCGGACACTGCAGCCGCAGGACGCGCCAGAAGAGCAGTATGAAAGGCCGCAAACCCCGCCAAGACCACTTCAGTCTCCTCCGCCTGTGCCTGAACAGCATATGTCAGCCTTGCGATCAAATCCCGTGGGAGAGCAGCAGCCGCAGCGCGATTCGGCTGTTCCCGAGCGCCCGATTTCCTCGAGATCCCCACCAAAAGTGCGACACTTGGACGAAGGACAGCGCGAAAGTACTGTGCCATCGTCTTCGATCGCTTCCCCGTCGCCGTTTCGCTCAACGCCAGAGAGCGCCGGTAAAAATGCGCAGAAGAAGAATAAGCGCAAGAGCGGCCTCCGAAATGTATTCCGGAAGATGTTCGGGCGCAAAGGCCCGGACCGAGCGGATGATCTGGAAGAAGAGCCAATGCAGCGTGGTCACAGCTACCACCACAGTGTAAGTCTTTCTAGAACAGCGTGACGAATGCAATCTGACGACGAACAGGACACTACCATGCTGAGATCAACACCGCCAAGAGAACCAAGGACACCCCCGTCCAATCCTCGGATATCTGATCTGCCGGTGGAGGAACTACAGCCATTACATCCGCTAGGCCAACATCTCCCGTACCCCATGAACGTGAATGCGCCGCCGGCAAGTCCACCGAAAGAGTACCTTACATTCGATGTGGACAGGCCGGATCTCGGTCGCCGAAGAGCCACGCTGCCCACTGTACCAAGTGCCATTACTCATCGACACAGTTTCGACGAGCCTCGTGAGAAGCTGGCAGCGTGGGACGAACAGGCTGAGGAAGATGAGATGTCTCCCGGTATCGGTATCGCTCTGTCCAGCCCAACTCAAACGGTGACGTCCAAACACGACAGACGGAGATCGAGAAGCGCAGATGCTCTTCACAGTCTCGCGAAAGAGCGCGCCTCGACGGAGAGAGGCAGGAGTGCGGAGATCAAGTTCTGGAGAGAGAGCTACATGTCCGGCAGCATCTATAGTCGACCGCAAACAGCGAAGACTGTAGAGACGGTCCGCACCGTGCCGATGCAAGAGCCCATGATCCGGGAACCAGACAACGAGTCGTTCAACGAGATGAGCGCGACGCTCGTCCAAGCGGACGAATCGCAGACCGCAACACCGATAACAGAAGAGCCGAACCGAGAGCAAGAACGTAGTGTTCAGCCCCCGGTCTCAGCCTTCAACTTCGGTGACCTGAAGAATGCGTTGTTCGGACCCAAAGAGGAAACCATCCCAGAATCACCGCAAGTCCGAAGCATCTCGCCGCCGCCTCCGCCGCCAGCGAAGAGTCAACATCGCATACCCATCGAGGATCGCGTTCAAGATCTTGAATCCAGGTACTCTAATCTCGAAACACTCACCCGCCGGATGTCATCCCGTAACAACCGACAAACCATCATCCTCGAAAACGCACCTCGCAACCTGCGATCAAGGAATCGGAGTTCGTCCGCATCTGCATCGCGCTCTCACTCGAGATCAGCACCGAGCATTCATCAAGAGCTCATCGTCCAATCAAGTAGCGAGACCCTTGAGCCTGAGCCTGCGCCTGGCTCTCCAACGCTAGCCGTGCCTCCCGTTCCAAACACCGGAAGTAACGAGGAGAATGCGCGAGCGCTGCGCAACGTCTATGAGGCGCTCAGACATGAGAGGAGCGCGAGGAAGGCCCTGGAACAGCAGGTTCGCACTCTTCAGCACGATGTCTCAGACTTGCATGCCCTTGTGAACAAGCTCATTGTTTCGGCGACTGCTACATCGCCATCGTATCCTACTCCTTCGCCCGACACCTTGATCATCTCGCGTGAAGGCGACCAGCGAATAAGCTGCTCCACACCGCGAGCTCCAGCGCACGACCGGAATGTCGTATACGGCCAGCAGAGCCACGACAGGAACCAGCGATGGGCCAACGACGACGCGAGCGTCTACTCTGAAGACCTGGCCCGCAAGCCGAGCTACGACGATGTCTCGCCAGAAGTATGGGCCACGCCGAAAGAAGAAGGTTTCGATGGGAGTGGGTTCTTTCATGGCGATGACCGGGTAGGAGCGTATGCTTGAGGGCTTTTAGGTCGCTTGATGCGGTCTTGAGACGTGGAATGATTGGTAAGGTTTTCTTTCCTTCTGGATACGGCCGGGCATGGCATGACCTTTTGGATGTTTGTAAGATACCCAGCGTGCGCGTTGTTATGGCGCGCGCTTCTGTCGTTGAGCGATTTATTATTTCTTGTGTCTATTGTTTGGTTAGCGAGCGAGCGTATTGAAATGCATCCATTGTTGATCATCCGTGTAAAGATCGTCCGTCGTAGGCGTAACAGTGCCGGTGCAGGTGATGAGGTGAGTGGCCACGGAAGGCGCGACATGCTCTCTCTCACTTTGCGGCACCTGGACTCATGACTTCCCAAAGTTCCTAGTACCACACAGTTTCCTCTTTCCAACAACCATTCGCATACTGTAAGTGAGCTACAGGACTCACAATGGTACGGAGGGGTTTCGCAGCGGACGCTGCCTTGTAAGTACGATTCAGAGTTGCATACGTCAACGAATTGACAATGAGCAGTACGAACGAGAAAATGATCACCTTCAAAGTTGGTCATGGAGGCAAGGCCGTGTTCCTGGTTCCTGAGGACCGCATCCGTGCCTCGTCCGAGTTCGTCGACGCAGCGATGAGGGGACCATGGCAAGAATCGCAAGAGCGTGTCATCACCCTGCCCGAGTTTGACAGGCATACCTTTGGTATCTACTTTCAGTGGCTTGTTACAGGCGTCATCCACAGCAAACCCAGTCCCACCGATGGAGAAGACCAGTTAGCTGAGCTCACGAAAGACTTATACCGGGAAATCCTTGGACTACCTCAATTGTTTGATCTGGGTCACTTCTTAATCGACGCTGACTTTAGAGACACTCTTAGCGATATTCTCACACAATGCGCTAGCGATATTCGGGGATTGTCAATCATGTTCCCGCCCATTTACGGTTCGAGGTTCTACGAAAACACACCAGAAGGCTCGCCAACTAGAAAGCTTGTCGCAGATCTTGTTGCCGAGTGCATTGAACAATACCAGCCCAAGGGGCTCGGATTGAATCAAGACACTGTGCATTCTGACTACATCATGGATCTTCTTCTTGCCGTGTCTGACAGGCTTGGTTCTCGGTTTACTAAGTCACCACTGCGTGGCTGGCAGACGAGCTGCAAGTATCACTGTCACGGCGACGAGAAGCCTTGCTACAGGAAGAAAGTCGGCACGTATGTAATATCCTCTGCTCACGCAATGATCACAGCTGAATAGGTCTAGGTCTCGCACTATCCCAACGAAGCGCCCAGCTCCCAACGACACACAGTCACCAGACGCAAAGCGACGTGCTTGAGAATGGACTATATATGCTGTGGAATTGTGTCAATGGCACACGGCCTGCTTCGACTGACGAGGTTCGGGCGTGACTGGATGCCTAGTGTGGGTCGTATGGAAGGAGAAGGATGCCACACGCATCATGATACATAAGAGAGACCTCAGGATATATGCTGCACCTAGTTCAAAAATGCAAATGAGCATAAGTCTGTGTACTCGAGCGACAAGCTTGAAGTGGTTCACCATGCGGATGTTAGGGTGAGGTGAGAGAAGCCGGGTGCTCTTTCCATTCTTCACGAGAGTCTGTGTACAACACGTCATCCACTTCACGTAGCTGCCTCATTCCGTATCTCACCGTTCTCAGAACCAGAGCTTTTCCAAACTCTCTCGGAACTTTCGTCTTGCATCACCACTTTCTGCCCTTGCACACGTTATTATCGCATTTCCGTCGCCTCGCTCGCACGCGCAGCGCTTTACGGCCACGATGCCGCTTTACCCTGAGAGCAAACTGCTAGAGTAAGTACAACGTGCGCCTTTCGTGAACGCTACTAACATTAAACAGCATGGGGACCCAGGTCGTCAGCATCAGCGTTGGCAAAAAACCCGACCACGAAGATTTCACGGTTCACGAGTGGCTCATCCGAGAATCATCAACCCTAATCCATGCGACCTTGCTATCGGATCAAAGCGAACGCAAAGAACGAAAGATCTCTCTCCCGGACTACAAGCCGAAAGACTTCAAGATCTACATGCAATGGCTCTACACCGAACGCGTCCTCATGGAATCCGGGCTCGACGATGATACACAGATGAATGCCAACTGTCAGAGTTTGATCAAGGGCTACCTTCTTGGTTGTCACCTCGGCGACGAGATGTACAGAGACACAATAATGGATTTCTTACTCGAATGGAATTACCAAATATGTACCTACTACTGCCAACGGCCGATCTTTGAAAACGTCAAAACCGTGTTCGACAGCACAGAGCTCGGCGATCCACTTCGAAAATTCATGGTAGACTTCACTGTCTGGAACGCAAGCCATGATTTCTGGGTCAAGAACTATGAGGACTTTCCCGAACACTTTGTCGCAATGGTTTCGATCGGCCACTCTTCCCGCTCTCACTACGGCGGCGATCCTCCCATCTCCTGCGTGAAGAAGAGACCTTGCTTGTACCACTGCCATACAGACGAGACTTGCTACAAGAAGAGGTTGGATAGGTAAAATAACCATTCCTCCTTCTAGTCTCATTTCCTAATATGTATGAACAGAATTGGAAGCGATACCTCCTTTCCCTTCTTAGAGGAGGACATCTAGTCTCGGAAGTGGACACCCTACTAGAGATTGCTCTAGGGTGCGGAGGGAGAAGAAGGCCGGGAACAACTCGTTATTTCAGCAGACTGTGAGGTTTTTCAGAATGTAATACATTAACAATTATGTACCTAAAAGACTCGCTGATACGCTTGCAACACATCTAAGTCATTCATCAAACATTCCACACATATCATACAGCATCATCCACCCTTCCCTTAGTTAACATGGGGAATGTAAGTAGGACCCCTACCCGCCTCAAACGCAGGTCCAGCAGGTCCATCAACGTAAGCAGTATCGTGGTCGGCAACATAAGCAGCATTGGGATTGGCAATGTAAGCGCTATCCCTCATGCTCTCGCTGTACCTAGCCTCCTTGACAACCTCCTGCCTCTGGCCGTCCTTGCGGCCGAAGCTCCAGGCGCCGAGCAGAACAAGAGCGAAGATACCGAGGTCGCATAGCTCGCCGAAGATGATGAAGAGGAAGGCGAGGGCCTGGTTGGTGGTGCGCGAGTAGTTGTTTGTGTTGCGGTAGATGAGGACGAGCTGGGCGATGGAGAAGGCGTTGCGGACCCAGACGATGGGGGTGACGAGCATGACGAAGCGGGTGAGGGCTGACTTGGAGCGGTTCTATGGTTCGTCAGTACATGCTTTTGCACAATAGGAAGGGGGTTGAACTTACACCGACAACACCGTTCTTCTTGATACCAATCCAGCACAGAATAGCCTCGAGTGTCGCACTTGTCGACGCAGCGATGACAGTAGCTACGTAGACAACATACAACGTCCTCACCATATAGTCAACAGCAATCAAACTCGGGTACGCCAACGCCGAGTTTCCGCTGCCACGGCGCGCAAGACCAACAGCCCAGCTAGCAAAGCCAAGAGCAAGGATAGCCAACATCCAGAAGCCGTTCAAGGCCCAAGACAAAACACCAGGCTCCTTAATACCAGTGCCGTTGTTCTGAACGTGGTTGGCGTGGATCCAGATGGCGCCGACGATGCAGGCGTTCATGATGATCATGGCGCCCTGGTAGGTGAAGGAGAGGATGGAGATGATCTTTCCATACTTGATGGCGTCGTTGTTGCCGAAGGGCTCGGTGTATTGGGGGTAGGCGTAGGCGGAAGTGATGTAGAAGGGGGAGGGGAGGCGGGATTGGAGGGCTACGATGGAGGATTGCGCGGCGTAGGCGATCATGAGGGTGGTGAGACCCGTGATGAGGAAGAGTTGTGTGCCAGTGGAACTATTGTGTGTTAATTAACTTGGTATTGGACAGAAGGGTGATTGCTTGGTGTACCTGTGCCTGTTCAGAGTTGACCTGTTAAACTTCTTGAATGTACGGGGACGTCCAGGGCCGCCGACGAGCTGGCGACCGAACAACGCAAGAGCGGCCAGGATAAGGATGATGGAGCCGCCTGCTGTAACGACATGGAGGGCAAAAATACCCTGGACGGTGGAGGTGGTGTTGGTGATGGCCATTGTGCGTGTTCGGTGGATGTGCAGGACAGCACCCTTTGAGATTGAGTGATGAAATTGATTACTATACTGATGATACTCCACCAACATGCAAACACGAGGGTCTTTATCATATCAACCAAACCTATGCGGTCATACCTCACGAGCCCAGACCATGACGATGCCTTGCGATGAACTGCTGTCAAACTTTACCAACGTTGACGCGCATCGAGACCAACAGCACTCTGGCCTGGAATTAGCCATGTGACTAACTGTGGCCTCTGCGAAGATCGAGCAATGAAAGGGTTCGGTGCGAGTCGCGACGTTGAAATGAGCTTGGGTGAATGACGTTTAGCGGCGCGCGGAGAGTAGCGGAATGACGTTGCGCGTCGCTAGCAGAAGCAACATGGCCGTCGCAGCCGGTTGCTTTTTCGTTTTGCGTGAACGATTATTTGAGATGTTTGGCTTGGACCGCCGAAGATCGTCGCAGTCATGGTAGTGCCATCGTGGAGGTGGGAGCGCGGGAGATGTGTTCGCTGGCGTGATGATCTGCCCAGGGGTGTTCTTGTTTGTGAGCTCGACGGTGACGCGCTAGCGGTCGGGAACGTGATGTGCCATTGCCAAGTGGGCTCTGCAGCAGGATTTTTCGAGACTTTCAAGAACACGACGATGATAATGAAAGCGGTCGCGCATCGAACGCACGAGGGTAGAGCCGAGGTCAGGAAGGAAGTCTATCAGGATGGATCATGGACTGGATGATGGCTCCTCATCTCGCAGCCTATCAATCGCTTTTCCCAACCCCCACAACCCTCCCACTGCCTCGGAGTCCCAGCTCTTCAGGCGTCATAAACCTCCGCACGGCCTCAATGTCATTTCCGCCCCAAGCACCCTTCCCACTGCTGCGCTTTCCGTGTTGTGCTGTTTCATACTCATCTTTGTGCCATCCACACCCAAATATGCAAAACATGCACACAACAACGAACAATGCCATAACTGCGAGAATAAAGATGAACAGAGACCAGATACCGGAACTAAGCCAGGTTACAAACGACGCAGAAGCCGAATTGACAACATGAGTTGCTGTACCCTTCTTGCCATTGTCGTCCCAATCATGAAACCACATCGCTGTCTTTTGTATGCGCTTGCCGTTTATGCTTGACTGTGAGCGCGGGATGAGTGTAGCGCGGATAATCTCATATGCGCTTGCCGGGTCACCAGCGGACAGCAGGGGACGCTGCAGAAGGACGAGTTCAAGGATCTTCTGCTCTTTCCTGTCCATAACAATTGTGAGATCCGGAGAAGTCAGATCAGTCCACAATTGCATGATATCGAAATGCAACACCAATGCGTCGGAGTCTTTGACGTGGCGCAGGGAGTAGGCGTATGAAGCGCCAAAGTAAGCGCCCCCAAGATTGTCGAGTTGATCGGATGCGACGAGCTTGTCGAGATCATCTTTCGACGTGTCCAACAAGACTTGGTTCACGTATACTTTCGGTAGAATCTTAGAGTCTCCTAAAAGTGGGGCATTGTTGATGCTTAGATGCGCTGAGTCGTAGGGAAGGGAGATGTTCAGAAGCTGGGGCACGTTAGCGGGTGATCTGGTCTCCTTCACAGTCGGGATGATTCACCAGAGCGTTATCGTCTTTTCTCTGAGCCCATGGCGCATCGTTGCCTTTTGATGTGTCTTGGTATAGGAAAGGGCACCCAACACATGGGATCTTGGCTATCACGTTGTAGCCCTCCGCAACTGTCGTAATTTCCGGTGCGACTTCAGCAGCTCCGCATCGCGCAAACGCGAGAATCGCAGCGAAAGGCGCTATCCGGAATATCATGATAAGAGGTACGATGATGAATTGTAGTAGGGTCACCCGTGTTGACACGTTTGAGGTTATGTGGCTGGGTTTGTATGTAAGCTGGGGGCGGGTGGGGCGGCTTCCATGGGTCATGTGAAGTCGCGAGCTAGCGTGTTTGGAATACGAGATGCAGCACTTACATCGCTCCCAGTCTTCACAGAAGTAAGACTTTGTTTGCCAATCGAATTTGCAGCAACATCGAGATATGAGGTTCTGTGTCAGGCATGATTATAAAGAACCAATGTACAGCACAACTCGTTCCTTGTGCATCAGAGGTACCTAGGTATTTATTCACATGATGTATAGCCCAAAATCAACCATGTATACGCTCAGCCCAATAACAACCCAATCGCACTACGCCTCGCATCTCTTCGCTCGACGCCCAGATTTATCGGTTTTGCATGTCGTGTTGAATTTTATACAGTCTCCTGGCATTCAACGCCATTCTCTCTCATCAACAACCCCATGATTTCGTTGTCATCGTGACCGTCGTATATGCCATACTGCGCTCCTTCAAGTACTTTACTGGGAGCCTCCAAATAATCTTCTGCCACCTCATCTGCTGTATCGATGAACTCAGCTTCAACCCTCTTCGACAAAGCGTCTCGGATCGTCTTACACGCGGAAAGAGCCTCCTTTGCTTCTTTGTCCTCCAGATGTTCTTCGATATCGGCGAGCTTCTTGAGGATTTGGGCGCGGTTTGTGGTCGGACTTTGTAAGCCAAGCCTAGGATCCAGCGTACAATGACTGGCAACCGCTAGAGCGCCAATCTCGATGATTTGTCTGCTTCGTGCAAGTTCGTCAGGTCGTGTCATATGCCGGATGACCGGGTTTTCCGAGCGAAATGCAACATCTGCCATGCCGGCACTGTTGTGGACAATGCCATGTTTCAGATCCCGGCGATCTCTCATCTCGTTCAGCGGCGTACCGATGGGAGTGGAGAACATGTCGCCGACGAATGTATCGTTGTACGTATAGTACGGTATGCTTGTTGGATTGAGTGGCCTTCCTCTCGGTGCAGGACCTTGACTCACACTCCTTCCATGTTGGAAGTGCGCGGCATGCCTTCTCTTGTGTTCTGGTGTAGCTGATCTCGCACGCGGTGCTTGGAGCCGAACGAAAGTGGGATTGGGGATGCTGTTGGCTGCGGCAATGCGATCTGTATCGCCAGTGCTCAAAGATCGACGACGACCGTAGCCTTGCGATGGCTGTCCTGAGTGGAGGTAGGCATAGTTTGTTTGACATCGCATAGGCCGAGGACGATCGTTGAGGTCTGGATCATCAGTTGTTGTTGGGAAGGCTCGTTGCAGATCTAGCGGGTAGGGATGGGGTGTACTTGGTCCAGGAGTCGGGTATGCCGCGGCGTTTTGGCCGAAGTCGTAATTTGAGAAGTCGGGAGTCGAAGTTGTGGAGGTGTTTGATGAGTCAACAGCTGCAAAAGCACCATCTCCATATGTAAGACCGATGTCATCGAGTATATCGCTGTTGTTCGTCGAGAAGATAGGCTGCCCTGAGCCATCTAATCCGAATAATTCGTTAAAGTCGGCTTGAGAGAGTTGTTGCTCCTCGTCCATCGATGGAAGAAACAGATCGGCGGCTGTGTGACTGAGTGGCGTGTTTGGCTGAGACATTCTGTAGGTTCCCAGTAGGATTGCAGTACTAAGTAAAGCGCGTATTGTTACCGAGATCCGTGGCTCTGTCGATACGGGAAGGATGTTACACAGGAAATGGGAGGCTGCGTAAACGATGTCTAGATATAATTACTGTTTGGTCCTTCCGTTGGCCTGAGCTGAAACAGGTAGACGCGGTGAGTTTGGTGAGCATAGATGGTGGCGCTGGAGTAGGCCAATGGCGGATGCCTACGTTGAGTACGTGGTCAATAGGCAAACATCGCTCCTGTGCATACAGTCAGTGCTCAGGCTCGTTTCGCGTAATCCTTGGCTATCTTGTCATAGGAGGACTATTTGCTGTAATGGGAAGTAGAGAATTAGTTGCCACATGCTCAAGACATTTGTCAGAAGTTGATTTCCCGGTCAGCTGCACTGCGCATCCACTGTCTCGCAACAGTGTTGCAGATCCGAAGGGCATCTGAAGACTCTGTATGAGACAATTCACCGAATGTCTCTTTTGGGTTAACACCCTTTGTTGTCGAAGATTCAGGTCATCTAAATTCGTTAAGACATTTAGGTCATCCCCTCATGAACGAGTTCCCGCTACTGGTCGGCCCCGGAGACCCCACAGTAGGGCACAATGGATGGCAGTCCTTCCCAAAGGCGATATCGTACATCTGTGTTATACAAGAGAATGCGGCTCTGCAGACTCAAAGACGTGCTCACTCCTTCTTGCTCTCACCGTTCTTTCCCTTCTTCTTGTCCCAATTCCAAACCTCCCAAATCTGTTCAAATATCATGTCGCCATAACTCTTTCCCTCTTCGATCGCCTTCTTTTCTTCCTCCAATCGCCGCTCCTTCCAGCCCTCCTCCTCATCGCCCATCCACAGCTTCCCAAGTATACTCTTTTCTTGCCCTTCTTTCCGCTCCAGTGTCCTTCGACTCTTTTCCCTTTCCTCTTGCAATACCTTCTGCATCTCCTTTGCGCGTTCGGTCGGCAGATCCATTGCTCGCATCGGACTGAGATTCTGTACGAGGCCGCGGCCTGTTCGTAGTGTGATGAGATGATCGGCGGAGAGGTAGAAGCCGATACCTAGAGAGAACGTGTAGAGGTCTAGTTTTCGTGGTGGGAGTATGGCTATTATTGGACATATTACGAGGCCGCCAATGGCTAGATTGCGTGTTATGCGCTGGTAGCGGGCTTGTTGTTCGAGGGCGAGGCGCTCTTCTGGTGGGATGGGCATATTTTGTACGGGGTTCGGTGTCGCCATGCTGGAGAACGTGTTCGCGCAGTCGATGTTGGAAATACAGTGGGTGTCGGAGCCGATGAATTGCGCGTGTATGCGTTCGAGCAGACAGAGTGAAGGGGTGATGTCAGGGTCGTTCGGTGGTCGCAATGTCAAAAAGTTCAATGATGCAAAGACGGCGGCTAGCTCCCGCCTCGGCTGCAGCTTCCCCTTCGGAGCGGAGGTGCTGCGGAGATCTGGAGCCACGCGAGCAGCACTCAGTGCACAGGGTGACTCGGGTTTAATTGCTGATGATTCAAATGCGCCTATTGATATGCTGTTCTCGCCTTCCCATGTCCGTTACGCCGTTGTCCCCATTCCACCCAAATCATGCATGACCGACCTCATAAACACGCGCAAATCTCTCGCTGATTATCGTTGGAACTTCCTCCTCTTCACGTCGACTCTGTCTTCAAAGCGTGGACTCTGCCTCCCTGGCCCGTCCTCTTGTGTATTCCCTTGCTGCTCAAATATCCCACTACTCCTGAGCCGCTTCGTTGGGGTTCTCTCGTACTCGCCGCCACCCTTTTGCCCTTCTTCATCTGTCCCAGCTGGCCCGTCTGACCTCGGTCCATCCTCATATGCATCGAATTTCCGCTTCTGCGCAGTGCTCGGCGTCTGCATCAAGCGCCGCAAACGGCTCTCTTGTAACCGTCTATTCACTTCCTCGGTGACATCGACATGTTGAACGACGTAGTCGTCTTCGATTCTGGCTCGCTTTGCGCGTGGTGTGGGCGATTGATCCACGAGAGGAGATATGGCATGCGGGTTGGAGTTCGGGGGTTGCGCAGTTGGTGTAGTAGAGGCATGTTTAGCGCCCTCGATACTAAGACGTTTGTTTGAAGTCTTGACCTGCCGCTTGTTAGGTTTTCGGCATCGCGTGCGCAACGGCACAGCATACCTTCTTCTTTTCCGCCAGACCTTCGTCCTCGAGCTGGTCTCTAAATCTCTTCATGTCGTCCTGTAGTCTGCCCGACTTGTTTCGCAGTGAGATCAAGTCCGTCGCCAACCAGTCGGGGTCATTGTGATCCGTCGCATCGAGCGTCTCATTGAGAAACAGGAGTTGCGCGCGTAGGTTCTCGATGTGTTTGTCAAAGTCCTGGAGAATGGATGAGAAAGGTGATGGGACAGGTAATTGTGTGAATTACCTCGAGCGAAAACTTCGCCATGTTGCATGGCAGAATTGTGGACGAACAAGGGAAACCGCATGCAGGATGCTTCAACTTCCTTGTGGAGTCCCGAGCGCTTGGGTCAACATCGTTCCGATCGGAATGTTCCGACCTTGGCAGCATCTTGAGATCTTGCCTCTTAACCACGAAGGGTCACTGTGATAGGTCAAACATGCCATGTTGCATAGCTTAGTCAAAAGGAGATTGAAACTATGGGAAGTGGTGTTTTATAGTCACGGTTAGAATTGATGTGCACTAATCTCACTATATTGCCCTAGGTGCTCAATAGCATCTTGAAAGGTAGGACCCTGGAAGCTCGTAGCCCTCGTATACGACATTCCATGCTCTAGAGTGAGCTTTATGCTAAAGTACACACGACTCAGCTTGAGCTTCCTCTTCTCCTTTGCGCGACATGCCTCGCGTCGCTGTTGCTGTCCATTGTAGGCCAGTCTGCATGACCATGCGAAGAAGCTGCAGATGAATAAAAGCGATCGTTGCCCTCAAGGAATCAGTACATCCGATGGCCTCACGCAGCCTGAGTTGACGTTGGCGGCAAGTAGAGAGGACCACGATAGCTTTGTGACTCGATGCATCGTCTTTGACAAGTGGGTAATGTCTGATGATTGAGATGCGACCGTCTTCAGCCTTCATCTTCGCCGAAAGTGAGTTTGACAGCTTTGGCCTTCTTCTTCGGTTTCTTCGTTGGCTTCGCTTCTGGCTTCTTCACATCTGTCTCTTCTCCTTTTTTGCTCTCGTCTTGGTCATCCCCGATGATCTTTGCCGCCTTGCGCTTCTTTGAGACCGCACCAACCTCAGCAATCTTATCTTTGGATTGTGATTTTGCATCGCTGTCTTTCTTCTTTCCAGCCTCGTCTGCAGCCGGCTCCCCTCCCTCTTTGTCGTCTTTGCCTGAGACAAGCGCATCATACTCCTCTTTACTCAGCGACTGATTCGTCTCTTCCATGACATAGGTAGGCGCATCATTCTCGTCGTCATCTTTCTTCATCCTCTTATTCCGCGCGATTGGATGTTCATGACGGGCCGTGTCTCCACTGGTGAGTTGCCCACGCAGCCGCTGTAAGAAGGCTGGCTGTGAGCTGTCTGTGGCGAGTTAGTGAATGATACGATTGCGTTACATACAGACTTACCGAAATGGAGGTCTTTTGCTTTGAAGCTCATGGTGGTTGTAGTGCAAGGGATGTGCTGACACGGCATGCACGTAAGGGTCTAGATTAGTCGTTTGGCTGAATGTCGTGTCGATCGCTTAGCGGCGGGTTTCCGTGCGGCTCCTTCGCCTTAGCTGCGGATAGTTTACGATGCACTTGCAGTCTACTCTTGGTTCCAGAGAGAATTCACTCCATCGAGATGTCTAGTCGGTTGTCTAGATATGGCGGGTGAAAGCCCATCCCGAAACGTATTGGTCCGCTGCACCTGCTATCGGCATGCGTGCTAAAGGGCTTGGCGCGTTCCGCCGACAGGGAACATGTCAACTAGCAGATCTCGAAACGCATACGCAATCATCGGCCGCTAATAATTTACATTCAACGACCCTGTTCTCTCCTTTCACTCCCTCAGGGTTACAAGCTCGAGCCCGTCACGCCAATCGCCAACCGATCTCGATATTCGTACACCCACCTGGAGTCACGACCCACACGCTCGTTATCGACCAAGCTCCTTGGGTTGAACACGTCGCCCTTTCCTCATCCGCAACCGTCGCATTCATTCGACGTCCCCTAGACCCCTCGAATTCGCTTCGCACCGCTTGCGACTGGGCCAAAGAGCAATAGGGCTGCCATTGGCAGGAAATCGCATACCAGATACGCCACCACTCGGACACCACCATGGGCTTCCTGCAAGATATGACGAGGAGGCTACCGACCTCAAAGGACAGTCTAGACAAGCTGGACGACCTACCGCGCCGCGCCGAAAAGAACTCCCCACGGTTGTCCTTCTTTCGACGCAGGATACGGCTGAAGGGGAGTTCTTCTGTGTCGATACCACTGGGCCTGGTGCTACTGTTTCCATGTCTCGTTATAATAATAATCATAATTCTGTTCGTAAAGTCTCCAGACTCGCAGGGCATTATGAACATGCCCGCCGGCGGCCCTCCCTCGATAAGGTACGTGAAATCCCATCACCACAGCATCCAAACAACATCTAACAATGCGCAGACGGATAAGCGAGAAGTACGATAAGCCATTCGCAGTAGGCTGCCTCGAGCCGCAGGTCAACGGACCCCGAGCAAACGCTGCATTCGTAGTCCTAGCGAGAAACAAGGAGTTGGATGGAGTCATACAGTCGGTCAAGTCGATTGAGAGACATTTCAATCGGTGGTTCCACTACCCATACGTCTTCCTCAACGACGGAGACTTCAACGAGACGTTCAGGGAGACGGTCTTGGCTCATGTCAGTGCTCCAGTGGAGTGGGGTAAGATCCCTCCCGAGCAATGGGGCTTCCCCGACTGGGTAGATCCCGATGTTGCGAAGGAAGGAATCGCCAAGCAGGGTGACAGGGCCATCATGTACGGTGGTATGGAGAGCTACCATCACATGTGCAGGTTCTACTCGGGGTATGTAACCCAGCATGCTTTCTTCTGATTGTCACTAACACGGACAGTAAATTCTACCAACACGAACTACTCGCCAAATACGACTGGTACTGGCGCCTCGAGCCTGAGATCAAGTACTTCTGCGACATCACATACGATCCCTTTATCCACATGATCCGGAACAAGAAGACATATGGCTTCACCATCGCGGTGAAGGAGCTACGAGAAACCGTCCCCAACATCTGGCGATATGCCTCGGCCTACAAGCGTAACAACAACCTGACCTCCAAGGGTATGTGGGAGATGTTCGTGGAGAAGCCGAAAGAGGAGGACGAGAAGGCGCCAAAGACAGAGCCCAAGAAGAAGAACTTCTTCCCCCAGGACATAATGGATGCCGAGTTCGGCACAGAGGCCATGCCTGAAATCCACCCAGAGAACATGGAGGGCGAATCGTACAACATGTGCCATTTCTGGAGCAATTTCGAAATCGCCAATCTGAACTGGTTCCGCAGCAAAGAGTACAACGACTTTTTCGAGTTGATGGATCGTAGCGGCGGGTTCTGGATGGAGAGATGGGGAGATGCGCCCATCCACTCGCTAGCTGTTGGTGCACTACTTGGCCCTGAGGATATCCACTACTTCCGCGACTTTGGATACCGGCATACGACCATCCAACATTGTCCCGCCAACGCACCTGCGCGACAACTCGCCCGAGAACCATATCTTGAGAAGACGACACTCGACGAGAAGGAGCGACTGGAAGAAGACAAGTACTGGGCGTCATATGACCCAGTCAAGGAAAACGGTGTCGGTTGTCGCTGCAAATGCGACCAGGATATTGTCGACGTAGAGGGCAAAGAAGGATCCTGCCTGACGGAATGGGTAGAAGTGGCTGGTGGCTGGGCATCACCTGGGCCTGACGGACCATGATCTCTCCTTCTCGCGTGATATTCTATCAGCTTCAGGCTAGCATTTTGCGGGAACATTAGCATCTACTCCTCTTTCAGTAAGGCGTCAGGTGTTGGCATTGCATATGGGCTGGGCCGCCCTTCAATAGAGCATCAGGACTACGCGGGCGTCGTTGCAGGCTTACTTACTTTCTGCGCATTGGCGACACAGTGTATGAGAACGAATACGAACAAGTTGAAAACAGCTCTGCTCTTGAATGACCCCTCGTTGTGTGGTCATGGGATTGCTTGCTTTAGGTGACGGCCCCACCCTATTCAAAAGGAGGGTTGAACATCAACCTCTCGAAAGAACAATAGAAGTAGATCGACCAGGAATCTATGTCGCCTCAGCATCTTACTAAGCCTTGTTGTTGTGCTGATGTAGACTGCAGCGCGCCTATTCAGTTTCATTGAATGAGGTGGCCTGCTTTGGCCATGTGAACCATGTTCCGTATCTTATCGCTTACTACGAGACTATGCGGGGTTACCCCCATTCGCATCCCACCTAAGCTCGACCCTCCATCAGCACCTTGTCGTCACCACAACTCACAGCAGTTTGAACAGTCGCTCGTCTTTCGCATTCACTGACAGCATCTCGGTAGTCTCACACTTCACTTATCAGGCTATCAGTGTGCAATCTGGTATGTGCTGTCACCTGCTCCCGCTGGTCCCCACTTCCTCCCGAAGGCCCCCATACGCGCCTCGCCCGCAGCTAGTTAGGCAGCGTCCACCTGGTGCCCACCACAACCTCACCTTGACCGTTTCCCCCTCTCTCCTTCCACCACACTCGGATCGCTTTGAACTTCTGATCACACTGGATTTCGCATGAAAACAGGCTGACATGTCTTCCAGCGAGCCTAACTTCTCTCAGGATCTCAAGTTCCCCCCTGTGCAGGTGGCCCACTCGCTCACTAAGCTTGATCTTGAAACGCTCATGATGAGGTCGACTCAACGCCGAGCCCCAGAAGAGGCGGGCAGCTCTCTCGACGACAGCAGCTATGACCTGCTCGGCGACGGCGTCATGGACATGTCCGACGACGAAGCCCATACCGAGTCGATCGCGTCGACCGACGGTCCCACGCCCGATGACACGTCTGACGATTTCAGTGATGACGACGTCGAATACGAAGCCGGCGAGAATCACTTACAAGATAGCACATACTCTTCGCACGGCGAATCCCAAGAGCAGCAAACCCACGTACACCCTATACTATCTGGCGAAGACTCCTCTTTGACAGAGGTTCCGCCATACCTGAGTGGGAGCATGAGCTCAAGGCATTTCGTACTCCAAGAGCAGAACACGGGCAGTTCTGGTGTAAGCCTTGGAAGCAGCATCATCAAGAGCTCGGCAGGTTACACGGACGAGCTACCACCGGTGTTCGACCGTTATGGCTGCAAAGAGATCAGATTGTCGGTCAAGGCAGCCTTGTCCAAGGACCCTCTCGCCACCCCAGACGCATACCGAATACTGTATGTTGGTAGTGGAAAGTGGGCAGAGGGCACCATCACCTCTAAGATCTGCGCAGCGCTCGCTGCCTACCCTAGCGCCTCCAAGTCGGTCATGGTCCGCGGTCACATCGAGCCCTATGCCCCCGTCCCGCACGCTGATCGTTGTGCCAAAATGGCGATTCATAAGTCGCGCGAGAAGAAGCACGTTCTCGCCATCATGGAAGATGGACGACAGCTCATGTTCGGCTCCGGCCTGTCTAATCACTCTTCAGATCGACCAGACCTTGTGGTCCTCTGTCACCCAAGCGTCCTTGATAGCACTGCTGACAAGCAAGATCTTGCATCTGCAAAGGAAGTATTCGAACGCGAGACAATCCCATGCATCGAACTTGCTGAGACCAATCCTTTCGGAGCTGGATCTTCCGTCGATGAGAACACCACGTCGTTACGGGTATGCGTAGAAGGGCGAGACAACCCGAACACTGATTACGAGCTGAAGGAAGTACTGCCCCTCGATATCCATCAGTTCGACCAACTCGAGCCATCGCAGCTTAATCGCCATCTCGCACTCATCAGTCCTCATCTAGCGAAGGCACAGGGCGCGAAGGCAGCTCCGACAGTCCGTACATCGTGGTTTAGTGACAAGACCAAGAAGTCTACGAAGAAGATGGGCTCACCGTGGCCAATTGCAAAGTTGCTAGCATCTGCTTTCGTTCTCTTCGCCCTAATCCCCGCACTTCTCATGGGTGCGGCTTATACCCCCATGCTGTACCAAAAAGTGTCACAAGGGCGGTCAGTGTCACCAGCCATTTCAGAGATTCAGAACAACACCACAACGATTACACCCGTAGCGTCAGTGTCTCCAAGTGCGGCTCGTTACCCAGATTTAAGTCGCTCGAGCCTTGTTCACGAAGCTCGGGGCCTCACTATCGTACCGTCCCAGCCAAAGCAGGCTACCCAGAAGCCCAAGGCGAAGAACAGTCAGGCTGGAGGTTTCGAAATCCAGATCACCGGAGACCATCAGTTTGTACTCCGTCCTTCTAAATCCTTCAATTCGAACCGGAAGAAACCCCAACTTCAGGTTCAAGTTTCTCGACACTCGCAAGAGGTTCCAGCACGCTACAACCGGACCACCACTGGCGAGTACATTGTCGACCTGGAGCAGCAGTATCGCTTCGATAAGTTCAATGTCAGCATCGCCACACACTCAAAGCCTCTCCTGCGGCAATCCTTCGAAGTGATGCTCGGACACAACAAGTCGACGCTAGATCAACTTCTCGACACTGCCAAGTCCAACATATTGGATACACAAATCACCCTTCGCAACGTTTCTGCTATTGCTGCACAGCACCTGCAAGAATACATGGCCGGGTTTGATCTCTACGCTTCCAAGCAACTTCAGGAGACTAAGCATCAACTGGAGATGAAGGCTCATCGGGCAAGACAGATACCGGATGCTACGTGGATGGGCTTGCGGAAGGTGACCGCACCTGTGCGGACATCATCAGCGATGCAAAGGGCCAGGATGAATGCTCTTCGCGTCAGGTGCAAGATGGAGACGGCGGCCGGACTGTCTGCAAAGGAAGGCGGTGAGGGGCAGAGCTGGGCATGTGCAAAGGTGGGAGGGGCGGTCTAAGGAACATAGAGAGGCGGCACGCAGTGGAGGATCTCATGTGACTTTCTGCACTGTCTTGTTTTGATTATGCGGCGTATACGGACAGGAGGGCAGACACAAGGGTGCAGTGATATACCCCTGGGACCTGGTGTGGACAGGAGGACAACTTGGGAGTTATAGGACTTGTCGAATTCATCTCATACCACGATGCATCTACAGCAGCTTGTAGATGCGCACATGTCCTTTGCTCTGTACTGACGTAGCTATACATTGACTCATCGGGTAGGACGAACTAGTTGGGTGCACGTTGCGTCAGGTGTGAGGGCGCGTTGGGCACGTCCCCTGAGCCGAACCGGGTAAAGCGCGTTCTGGAGGGGCATCCCACTTCCCAATTTACAGGCAGTTGTTGACACAAGAACCCACAAACACACATCTCCCCCACAAACGCGGCTCTCTTCTTATCACACACAGACCCGAATACTCCGCATTCATAGAAGAAGATGTCTGAAGCAGCCAAGCCCGACCCCGCCGCCGAGCAGATCGCCAACCCTGCGGCGACTCTTGTTCAGGACGAGACCGCAAAGGTCACCACGGACAAGGCATCTGACAAGCCCGAGACCACCACAGAGAGCAAGGATGACAAGCCCATCACAGAGAAGGCGACAGAGGCAGCGGCCGCAGTGAAGGACAACGTCTTCTCCATGTTCGGTGGCGGCCCCGCAAAGGTTAAGAAGGAGGAGGCCGACGATGTCGACGAGCCATCAGGTGCTTCCAAGCCCAAGGGCGAGGTGCGTATGTGCTTAAGTGATTTTGAGGACATACTGACGAAGCGACAGGACGAGGACCCCGAGAACGAAGAGCCCGATGTCGACTTCCAGCCCGTCGTCCACCTCACCGAGAAGGTCGACACCAAGACCAACGAGGAGCTCGAGGAGCAAGTGTTCAAGATGCGCGCCAAGCTGTTCAAGTTCGACAGGGAATCGCGGGAGTGGAAGGAGCGCGGCACTGGTGACGTCCGGTTACTGAAGCACAAGGAGAATGGCAAGACCCGTCTCGTCATGCGCCGTGACAAGACCCTCAAGGTCTGCGCCAACCACTACGGTATGATACATGGAAGGTGGATATGAAAGCGGATACTGAGAAGTGCATAGTTGTTCCCGACATGAAGCTGTCGCCCAACGTCGGCAGCGACCGCAGCTGGGTCTGGAACGCCGCCGCCGATGTCAGCGAGGGCGAGCCCGAGGCTCAGACCCTGGCCATCCGCTTCGCCAACAGCGAGAGTGAGTCCAAGCAGATGCACGAAACTGCGCAGCGGAGCACTAATTATATCTTTCAGATGCCAACCAGTTCAAGGAGGCCTTCATCAAGGCCCAGCAAGAGAACGAGGCGCTTTTCGGCAAGTCGGAGCAGTAAATGCTGCCGGATAATAAGAGCTTGGAGGATGGGATGAGATACGAAAAGATGGATTGCACGAACAGTGAATGAGATTGGGACGGCATGATATGATGGTGGTAGAAGAGATTACCCACACCCTGCACATAACTAGATAGTAACTAAATGGCCCGACTACTGTAGTCGACGGCGTCCCCCCATGCAAGACTTGATGGCACGAAATGAGTCGACGTGGGAGTGATGGCTTTACTTTCAAGAATCGCGAATTGACCCTGCATAGCGTGCAGTCTCACCTGCAATGCAAACGTGTGCCGATGCCGTATCACGTCTCTCACCTGGCAGAGGGCTAGTCCCCTGTCAGGCAGGCTTCCGTGCTCGTGCAGCTTTTCTTACAGCTTGATGGTTTGCGCCAAGCCAGCGCAACTAGTCTCCGTCTCCGCCGCCCCGCGACCATCTCTCAGTTAACTCGCCAAATCAGAGCTCGCGACCCGAGACCAGCCACCGCGCACCTCCAGTCCAAGCCTTTACTACACGCGCCCCGGCTTTGTCGCAAGAGACCGACACGCCAGACCGCGCCCGACGTGAACCGCCTCTACATACCTCGCGTATATATTCTTCAGCCAGGCCGGAACCAACCACGCTCGCAGCAGCCCGTCTACGCAGTCCTCGCGGCGCAAATCAGACAAGATGCCTGACGTAAGTTGCGGCCTGGAGATGCACTCAAAACCATCGCGCAGATGCTAACAACCGCGCAGGTCAAGCGATGGGTCAAGCTCATCACTCACCAGAAGCCCATGTACGTACAATCCGCGCGCAATCGCATGCGCTTGCCCATCTCACGCGTCTACACGCCGCCAGTCGCTAATATACATTCACAGCGCGGAGCCTTCGCCCGTTGAGGGATACCCCATGCGATCATGGAGCATAGAGGTCTGGCTGCTGGATGACCAGGGCAACGAGGTCATGCCCAACGTCTTCGAGAAGGCCGTCTACAACCTGCATCCTTCATTCGAGAAGAACAAGCACAGTAAGTGCGCCCGACACTGCGCTCAGCAGTATGCCGTCAGCAAGAAGTCCCACTAACATGCCAAAAGTCATCAAGAAGCCGCCGTTCCGCATCGATGAGAAGGGTTGGGGTGAGTTCGACATGAGCATTGTCTTGTCCGCTGTTGGCAAGGGCGGCGATCACACCCTCGAGCACGACCTCAACTTCCAGTCGGAGCGTTATGAGGCCAAGCACCAAGTTGTAAGTACCACATACGCGTGCTATTCATCAGTCAGAACATTGCTAACCTGCCATTGCAGACTTTCCGCAACCCCAAGCCTGAGCTCCTCGCCCTCCTCGCCGAGTCTGGTCCCGCCGAGGCCAACGGCATGCGCAACAAGGACGCCGCCAAGAAGAAGGGCCGGAGAGACAAGAACGTAGACATGGAGAAGCTGGCCGATGGACTGCAGAAGCTGGGTGAGGATGACCTGCTGCACGTCGTCACCTTGGTCCACGACAACAAGACCAGCGAGACGTACACTAAGAATGACGTCGAGAGTAGGTTTCCATCATCTCCCCATTGCAAGGCACGTGCTAACATAATGATAGATGGCGAGTTCCACGTCGACCTCTACACCCTACCTGATTCCCTAGTCAAGATGCTCTGGGACTTCACGTCCTCGAAAGTCGATTTATAGGTTGTTTCGCCATCAGAGGTTCTATCTTGCGTCGATTCGACCCTGGAGTGACTAACACAACACGATATCTCGTTCGCACGTCCACGATCCTTCTCAGCATCTCCATGCTCGAGAAACATAGCAGCATCACGCTCGCTTGCTTCATCCCCGTAGCGGGAGGGATCGTGGCGGTCCATATCTCGAGTTCCCCTAGCTCTCAGTGGCCCGGACAAAGTCGAACGAATATATCACTCACCCCATGTTTTCTGTTCCTGTTTTCTCGTTCTTCATGAGCCTCGGAGTTTTACAAAGGGCAAAAGCTGGGTGGCTATGCATGCATACATGGCAACTTCTTTTGATATTGATTGGCGCTGCTGGGAGGGTTACAGGCTTATTATAGGTGGATATGCATGGGCGAGAAATGAGATTACTTAATTCTTGGTTTGTGCTTTTTGTGTGGACTTGAGGGGTGATGGTTGTGTGGTGATGATAGGCCTGGTCCTGACGTGCGAGGGGAGTGCGAGCACGAGGTACTGGCTACTTGCTACATGATTCACGACTTCAGTACATCCGTGTAGGCTGACTTTCCACAGGCCGAACACGGCTGCACGACAAGGACACAGTACTACGCATCGCGATAGAAGTACTGGATATCTGGCTCGGACCCAGAACCCGGCCGATCGGTCCTCATCGACACGGCATCTTCCCAAGCTTCTACCGGCTCATTCCAGAGCCAATACTAGTACATCGTATCGCATGAACCTTGAGCTCGGGATTCTCATATCGATGGCAAACCAGAGTGCGGAGTGGTACCAGCTATGGGACTGCTCAACGGAGCGTGGAAGAGAGGTGATGATGATGATAATGATCATCATCATCACTATCATCGAGAATAACAGCGACAAGCTCGAGGCACGTTGTATGACGGGGAGAGATACGTCGTTCGCCGAACATACTCAGGCTTCGCCACTGTTTTGGAGGATCTCTCACTCTCACACCATGACGGGTTATTCTCTAGATTTTTTGTAGACAGTGAACAAGAGTGAGATGTTGTGGTGTCAAGAAGAAGAGAAGCAATCTCAGCCAAAATCCCGAGACTTTTATATGCCAGTCCTTGGTGCTCTCCTCACACATGCGCGCTTAAACTCACAGTTTTGGAGTCGCTCTTCTTCCCGAACTCATGAGTTTGTGAGTTAAGGGTTATTAGCACAGCAGAGCTTCTCACGCATACAAACAAACTCTTCCTTTTTTGAGAGCGCAGTCAAAGAACCATATTGGTGTAGTCTGTTGATTTTGAAAGCAGAGTTCGTCCGCACATCTCAGGAGTCGACAACTGTTTTGAGTAGGGGTGGAAGTTGCGCGAAACACACATGGCTTTTATGTCGGGAACTTTTGTTCATGCTTTGGAAGCAAATAGTTTTGGATATTTTGGAAACATCCGGAGAAGTTGGGGATTAAGTTATTGACGAAGGGTAGAAGAGTCTTTTATATGCCGTTGCAGCTAGCGCTGTGTCCGATCACCAGTGTATCTTTGGAGGGCAGGAGACTCGCATAGGGGCTGTGTTGGACATTTTTTTCAGGAGGAAAGAAGGCGGAGACCATTGCAAAGTGAGCAGGCCTTTTTGAGACTCGGAGGAGAAGACAGTCATTGTCTCGTCGTCTTGGTTTTTGAGTTCCACAACCATATGTCAATAGTCCGGTACTTTTGGAAACTAAGGTTGTAGAAAGGTGTGAAGAGAAGAAGGTCGGAGAGGAAGTTGATGATGTTTTATGGTCCTCCAGTCGGATATGAACTTGGTAAACGCAGCTTTGAGTCTACAAAATTCCTCGAATGGAATTAAGCCGCTGTGCTGACGACCATGGGTCATGCTATACTTCGGCGTGGGTTTTGGACAAAACGCGCTACATGTCTGTATGTCCGGGTATTCAGCGCACCAGACATAAATCGAGAATTTGTATGGTTCCGTTACATCCAAGGAGAATTCCTGGGTTTTTGGAAAAGAGTAGAAGACATGATGGGAGAGAAAGGACTACGAAGAGACCCAGTATGATTTTATAATCCTCCAGGAAGACAGGTCGGAAGACATATATGCAGCATCGTACAGAAGACACAGACACCATGGGCCTCTGGCCTAACACTTTTGATAAGTCGGTTTTGGTGATTATATGTTTCGGGGCTCTCGAATCTGAACTCATTTACGTGAGCTAGCGACGATTTTAAAACTCCATGCGAACGGAGGAATGCACTCTTGAAGAAATGCCCAAGTGTCGCAAAGGCCAGAGAGGCAGACATCGAAAGTTTTGAAAAGAGTTTTAGTCGAGTAAAAGAGCACGAGATGCAGGCATGAAGACGTCGTGATGATGATTTCGTTGAACAGGACCAGGTGCGGCAGAGAACCGCCATGGGTCATGAGAATGTGTTTTTCGAATGCGCATCCATAAGTCCTCCATGTGGAAGTTTGGAAGGCTCGGCAGGAAAAGCGACATGGCAGTTTCGATACCAGATGTCGGCTCGAGAAACGCATCAACCTGGAGAGTGTAACTTTGAAAGGCCGAAAGAGCGGAAAGACATTAGCGTTTATCTTCCAAAGTTTCGGACAGCCAAGACTGGCCATAGCCGTGGGAGTTCAAGGTTTTCGAGGACATGATAGAACCCATCCGTCTTTTCGGGGAAAAGAGGAAGGCGTGTTGGTATAAAGGAGAGAGGGCCGAGCGGAGGAAAAGCAGGACGGAAGACAGCCATCGATATCTGGTCGCTCTGTTTGTGGCGGCGCAGCCATGTAACATATATGCGAATATTCGAAAATACCGGAAACGAGAACGACAATGCCAGCTTTCGACCCGAAGAAATCATAACAACCGTGTGACGGTGTTTTAAAGATCGGAAGAGCGGAAACACATCGGGACGACCTGAGCGTTTTTGGACAGCCAGAACTGGTCATAATAACGCCCGTAGGACTTTTGGAAGACATGGCATCTTCTGCATTCTTTTGTAGGAAGAAGAGGAAGAAGAGGAGGAAGGAATGATGGTGTGTGGAAGAAGCCTGAGCAGAGAGAAGAGCTCGACAGACGACTGCCATAAAATGCGCGAGGGAATCTTTTGGTATTTTTCTGGCTGCGCAACCATAGATTCGCAATGTGCAGATTTGAGAAGTCCAGCGGAAAGACATTCTATCTCCCTTAATGGCTCTCAGCTCAGGAGCAACATGGCCTTTCGCGTCCTTGAATTTTGGAAGCTTCGGAAGAAGGGAGGACATGAAACGTGTTTAATAAGGTTTTGTTTTCGACAGCCAGCACCAAACATGACCGGAATCACAGGCGTTTTTGGACAGAACGACATCAAGTCGTGTATCGCATCTTTTTGAGGGGGAAAAAGAAGGACAAAGCTGGTATGAGAGAGAGGACTGAGCAGAAAGAAAGCTGGTATTTATACCTGTTGAGTTAGCAGAAATATAGACGTGAGATGAGATGAGCTGGAGAAGTATCGTTTGCGTGCGGTGCATAAAGATAAGGATGGGGGTATGCGTGCATGTAACAAGTTTCTCGAGCATCGATATCATCCTACTCTTCTTTCTCCTGGCATCGCACATACATCAGCTCGCAACTACATCTATGCTCTTCTTCCACACTTCCCACCACCCCATCACCTCCGCCTCCTCCGTCCACCACTCCCACCCCTGCTCTCGTTCTTCACCGATGTATCAAGCAACGGGTCAAGACCGCTTCCATCATTACTCGAACCCCCACCACCACCAAGCCAACCCGCCACCGTAGCCGCAAGCTCATCCCTCTTCTGCCTCCTCTCTTCCATCACCGACTGCCTTTGCTGCGTCACCGTCCTGACTCCCGACTGCCGTTGCATCACAGTCCTAAACCTCGCAAACCGTTTCCCTTTCTGCAACGCAGGAACAGTCTGAGTCCGCACTGTCCGGCTTCGAGACGATGGATAGCGTACAACGTGGACAGGCAGGTTGACGCGTCGGATGCGCCTGCGCCGCTGGGTTTGCACGTCGCCTGACTTAGCGTTGATCAATTTGCGGAGGTCATGTTTACGCTGCCGGATTAGGGCTTTGATACTTCTGACGCGCTTTTTGAAGGCTCGCATCATTGATATCGATGTTCGGCGCGCTTTGTATGCCGTGTCGAGGAGAGCTTTGGGTGAAGTATCAGGCTTCAAAGATACGAATGCAGTGTCGCGGCCCCATCGGCGCAGGTGTCGCCATTGAGTTTGCTGGGTGCGTTGCCGTTTGTGTTGTTGTTTGCGTTGCTGAATAGCCGTCATTATTGTCCTTGCTTCCTCCGTCAGACGGAGGATGTCTTGAACGGCATAACCTAGTGTTTGGTTGAAGGCTTGGGCTGTTGCTAGTTTTGAGACGGGCATTCTGCGGATGTGTGGTTTGGTGTGTTGAATGGCAGCCATAATGGCTCTGGCCTCTTCAGTCAGGCGGGAGACTTCAGAGACGGCGGGTTTGAGTTTCTCGTTGATCTCGACCGCTGTGGACATTCCGTAGGAGGTAAACTTGCGGATTGGCGCCCCCATCGCTGTAGGCGGTACCGCGTTCGTCTTGTCCTTTTTTCTGGCACGAGCTTCTTTCTGCGCTGCTCTTTCAGCCTTTTGTGCCCTCTTCTTCTCCCTCTTTTCTGCGTTCCTCGCTAGCCTCTCCTCCTTTGGCCTCTCTCTGTCCTTAGCTGGAATTCTTCTCACAAGCGTGCGATTGATGTCGTCCAAAACGGAATCAGCCTCTTCCATCAGATCCGCTGCATCCACCATCAGCGTCCTGAACCTCACAGCCATCAATAGACAGTGCCACTGTCGAATTTCTGACATGACAGCTGCATGCTTCGTCTTCTGTTTATCGAAGAGCTTCTCGAATCTGCGCATTATTGCGTTCGCTGTCCGAACACGGAGCCGGCCGGAAATAGATTGGCCTTCTATCTTGAGCTTGCGAACCAGTTCCGCTATAGTTAGTCTTGGAGGGGTCCGCGGATGCTCTTCTTGCTGAGATGGAGACGTGTTGGCTACTTTCAGAGTTGAGAGATTGTGAGTCGGCACGTGCGCACGGATGGATGGCACAGATTTCGGTGTATTTGGCTCATGTTTTGACTACCTGGGCTATCAGAACACATTCATGGGAAGGTCGAGTCCACATCAGGCTCACCTACGTCCTCGTCCTCGTTCTTGTCATCAGGCGTAGCTCCATTTTTACGCATCGTCCGGAAACGAGAAAAGGGAACATCGACCGTAGTAGTGACACTATGGATCATGCCTTCGTCTACCCGAGAGTGCTGAGTAAGCGTCATCGCTCCCTCACTCAGTGCACCAAAGCCAGGAACACACAATATCTTGTCTCCTTTGGTCTGACTGTCTTGCGACGAGTCCCCGGGGATTGAGTCCACAGTGCTAGGAATGGTGCCCACCTCCCAACCCCAACCAATCTTTTTCCCAAATGCAGCCCATCTGATCGTCCCTCTGTGACCAGACTTTTGAGCCAACTGTTCGAGATCTGATTTCGGAGAGATGAAGAACTGTATCGAATCGCCGTCTTGCACCACTGGCGTAAGAGACGACTCGAAGTCTTGGGGATCACTGATCATGCTGAGGAAATCGTTATCCTTTGGTGGATCTGCAGCTGGACTGGTCGCTGCAGGATCCAACGATAATAAGCCAGCTTTCTTTCCCCATCCGCCTCCACCACTCAAGACTCGATGGAGACGTGCTCCTTCAGTAAGTGCTTGCGACACCAGCGTGTTATAGAGAGGGGGATCACTGCGCCATAAACGCTCCCATGCATTTGTGTGCTCGGAGACCGGATTCTGATCGTCTGTTGGTAAGCCAGAGAGGATTTCATCTGTTCGAGCGGCGATGGTGGCCCTCAGCTCATCGGGTATCACTAGTGCCCAAGCTACAGTCGCTTGCGCAGGCTGTCCTCGCGATTTGAAGAATCTGGGAACAACATTTTCAAGTTCCGACGAGGCCTGTAGAGATTTACCACCAGGCCCGATAACCCTGCGGATGATGTTGCCCATGCAGCCGTTGACTGTGCGGGGCATTGTCAAAGGAATTAACGGAACGTGGAGAGCGGGAGCAGAGTCTGTCTGTTGCTTGACTAGGCGGATTCCATGATGAGAAACGTTGGTCTTGGATACAGGGGTCATCTGGCGATTCGCATCCAGGGTCCAAGTCGATAAGATCATGGTGGATGGCGTACCTGTCTGGAAGACAGTATTCGCAAGAGGCAACCGCAAACTGTCACGATAGACTGTGTCCTTGACATTGTGTTCGGCAAATATGAAATCGATAGCGTTCTTGTCCAATGGCGATAGTTCTTGGGACGGTACAGAAGCATCGGACGGAAGAATCGCGTAGGATATTCCTTCGAACCCGGCGCCAGCAAGAGGCGGCTGAGTAGGGTTCTTCTCCCCTACCCTGCTGACGGGGAGTTTGTCTACGACAGCACACAGTGCATGTATTTGGAGATCCGGTACGTCGGCCGCATTTTCGTAAGCGTGCAGAAGAGCGTTGCGGAGGAAAGCGTCATCGTCCAGCAAATAGTGCGCATACGAAGGCGTGACGAAGAAGACACAGAAGGTCCTTTGACGGGCGACGTCCAGTGGTGGAGGAGTGATGTGCTTGACAAGGTCGTGTGGCTGGAGACATTGTTAGAATGCGTCAGCGGGTTGTGACATTTTCCTTACATGGGATTCCACAGACGGTGGTACAATTATGCCCCAGTGCCGACGAACGGGCGCGTGGTATGCTTTGAATTGATCGAAGTTTGCGCGTCTACTCGGTATGACTGAGGGACAGCGCAGAGGACGAGCGGCGGCAGCGGCGCGCCTCAAGAGTGGCCATTGTCGCGCAACCAGTAGAGGCATTTGTCGAAGCTCAATTGACCATAATGAAGCATGGACGTGGTGTTGAAGATGCAGATGCAAGTGGTCATGACGCACCATCCGCGGCTAGCAGATCGCACTACCCAAGATGCCTGCAGGGCCTGGAGACGAGATGCGTACGTAAGCAGAGCCGCATCTCGCGACAACGGGCGTGGTAGCATGGCAAGCACTCCTGTCACCTGCCAGCCCGAGCATTGAGCCTGTCAACCGACGCGTCTATACTCCCTGCAAGCCCTCTGGACGCTTGCCATCCACTCGGGCGCCTGCACACGCCCTTGACACTTTTTGGAGCGCCGGCTAGGCCACGTCTCGCACACACCTCCTTGCGCCGACCCACGCCCGCACCATCACCATCGTCTGCCTCTGCTTCTGATGCGCCCTTCATAGACCCCTCCCATTTGGCAGCCGCGGTTCGCCTTCCTTCCTAATCGTCCACCACCATGTCACGCTCGTTCCGCCGCTCGAATCCCATTACCATAATCCTCGCGGGCATCCTCTGCATCGGCTTCTTCGTCTTCTTCTTCTCTGGTACCGATGTGCCGTCCATTACCAGGAAAGGAGGGGGAGAGGTAGCCTCGAACCCCCTCTCGCCACCCTCGCTACCGTTCCGCAAGTCCAAGGCGAATGCTCCACAGGCCGCGCCGCCCGTCGTACATTACTATATGAACAACGTGACCAACACGCGCACGCCAATCGAAAACGAGGAGACGGTGCTGATCCTCACACCATTGGCCAAGTTTTACCAAGAATACTGGGACAACCTGCTCAAGCTCAACTACCCACACAATCTCATCTCCCTGGGCTTCATAATACCAAAGACAAAGGAGGGCAATGCCGCATACGCAGCGCTACAGGCGCAAGTCACCAAGACTCAAACTGGATCCAAGAAGAATCGCTTCTCCGCCATTACCATCCTCCGCCAGGACACCGAATCCCCCCTCCAGTCGCAAACCGAAGCCGAGCGTCACAAGATGGAGAATCAGAAGGCGCGACGTGCAGCCATGGCCAAGGCGCGCAATTCGCTCCTGTTCACAACGCTAGGTCCCACAACCTCGTGGGTCCTATGGATGGACGCAGACATCGTCGAGACACCACCCACTCTGATCCAAGATCTGGCCGATTACGACGTGCCCATCATCGTCCCCAACTGCTTCCAGAGATACTACAACGAAGATAAGAAGAGCATGGACATCCGGGAATACGACTTCAACAACTGGATCGACAGCCCCACAGCCAAGGACCTTGCTGCTAAGATGGGCAAGGACGACATTCTGCTCGAAGGGTACGCCGAGATGGCTACATACCGTAGCCTCATGGCTAAGATGCACGACACATCGGCGGACCCCAAGGCAAAGATTAAGCTCGACGGAGTCGGCGGCGCTACTTTGCTCGTCAAGGCGGAGGTACACCGAGACGGCGCCATGTTCCCACCGTTCGCCTTTTACAACCTCATTGAGACGGAAGGTTTCGCCAAGATGGCGAACCGACTGAACTGGGAAAGTTTTGGCCTGCCAAACTACCTTGTAAGTCATCTTCTATCCTGCTACACAGACATTGCTTGCTAACATGGGCCCCAGGTGTACCACTACAACGAGTAAGAAAATCCGAGGCAATGTACAATCTATTTGCAGACTGCTCCCTTGGGCGGTCTTGGGCGGCGTTCGAGAGGGGTTTCCGACTGCCACACTGTTGATATCATGAGCATTGCATGTGCGAAAATAGTCATGTATTAGGGGTATAGAAGGCTTGCTGGCAAGAGATATACCAGCATTATCTTTGAATTGGATTACGAAAGTTTCTATTGCACCATTTTGAAATTACTCATCAATCAGCATTGCGGCATGAACGAGTACCCATGTATCCAAGATGTTTCCAAGCAATTAGTCTCGACTATGTGGGCTGCGGAGCACGCTTCGTTCCAATAGGCCAGGGCAGATGCGGGTCTTGCGTGACGACCAGGCGCAATCACGCTACGCCCATCTTTAAATCTAACATGCCTAATCAAGAGACTCTACAAGCATCTGAATATTGAGGCAGCATGCATCGACAGACGCATGCGACACTGAACCCCGCGGGGAACGGATCGTCGCGTGCCAGAGCTCCGGTACCTCGCCCGATCCACCTCGGTGCGGGATGACGCTTCGGAAGGCACCTTACAGCAACCATAACCACGACTGAACCCGTACGGGACGACCGGAACATTCCACACATCACCCACCGACCAGTCTCGTAAATCTCACGAGTCGACAGAAAGGAGGAAACCATGGCCGAAATCGCCGGCCCCCGTAAACGCACCTCGGAACGCGACGCCCTCCCACCACGAACCCACAGCGGCGCCTCGGAAACCTCACCCATAGTAACGAGTTCGCAATCCCATACCAAAGACTACAACTCCATCTCCCCTGACATCCGCGCACGCGATCATTCCACCTCCATCTCAACCAACATCTCCCCCAACAACACAACGACTAAACCCGCGAACCCATCCCAAGACCCCATCGGCGGGACCTCCATACCACAAGGGCCCTCCGCTACGGACTCAGGTGCGCCACAGGAAGGCACGGCAGGGACATTGCAACCCGCCGTCGACCAGCGCCGACTCAACGGGCATGCGAGTGTAGACCACCGCGCACGGAGTGCAGAGCGGGAAGCCGCAGCAGTGGAACAACGCGAGAAAGGGTGGTGGAGCGCCTTTTGGGAAAAGTACGGGAGTGTCGAGTTGGATAATAAGGGGAGTGTTGCTAGGGATCATTTGGCGCTTGGTAAGACTAATCCTCTCGTCTCTTTCTGCCTGTGCATGGGCATGTGAATGGGGGAAGATGGGAATGACAATACTGACACGATGATAGAACGAACCTTCCTAGCCTGGCTCCGCACATCCCTCTCCTTCGCCTCGATCGGCATAGCGATAACGCAACTCTTCCGACTAAACACTTCGATAGCGAATTCGCCGGATTCGTCTTCTACGACTTCTCCACAAGCGAAACTGCGGCATTTGGGGAAACCGCTAGGCGCGACATTCATCGGTATTGCGATCTTGATGCTTTTGATAGGGTTTCATCGGTACTTCGAGGCGCAGCATTACGTTATACGGGGCAAGTTCCCTGCGTCGAGAGGCAGCATCATCATCGTTAGCGCCATAGCAGGCGCACTGATAGCGAGTTCACTCATCATTATAGTGGTTACGGCGCCGGGAGCGTTTGAGACTTGAAGAGAAGAAGACTTAGTTTACTTTGCTAAGCTTGGGTATCTTTGATTCATTTCCATCGTACGTGATTCTTTTATCTCTTCATAGAGGTCAACGGCTGCGTTGCCCCTGTCATGTGTTCGCTATTGCTCAAAAGCCTGGTTCCCCCACACATAGTCCTTGAATTACGCCCTAGCCTCTCATCTCCTCCGTTGTCTTGCCCGCTCGCGACGACTTGATGACACCCTGAATCAGTTCTTCGACAGCGTCCCAGTCCGATGTGTCGATGGGAACTAGGTCCGTCTTGAAGTAGCTCGCGATGTAGTTCAGCTGTGTCCAGCTGTTCTTGTCGTGTACGAAAGTAAGGGCGACACCGACGCGTCCAAAACGACCGGTACGACCAATGCGGTGGAGGTATGTCTCGGGGTCTGCGTCCACTCCGTTTGCCATGGTCGGGACGTCCTGGTAGAACAGTTAGTACACCTTGTAGATATTCTTTTGAATTATGACTTACGTAGTTGATAACCATAGTGACTGACTGCACATCGATACCACGGGCGAGAACGTTGGTGGTGATGAGGACCTTGGCCTCTCCGGAGCGGAACTGGTCGATGATGCGATCACGCTCAGGGCCTTCCAGGGCACCACTGAGTTGCGCAACCTTGTGGCCTTCGGCAACCATGCGCTTCTCGAGCTCCTCAGCAGTCCTTCTGGTCCTGACGAAGATGATGGACGAGGCTTGTGTCATCAGACCGTAGAACTTGAGCAATGTCGCGTACTTGTCATTGTCCTTATCGATATCAATGTACAGCTGCTTAATGCCCTCGATGGTCAACTCCTCGTGCGCTAGAGTAATCGTGTTTGCGTTGGGTGCGAAGCGCTTGGCGTATGCGATGACGGTGGGTGGGAAGGTAGCGGAGAAGAGGACTGTCTGGATGTCCTTGTTCAGAAGTGACTTGACGCGAGTGCATTGCTCGCCCATGCCCTGCTGATCCAACATGTTGTCGGCCTCGTCCAGAACCAGAATCTTGATGTTCTTTGGGTTGATGAGACGCCGCCTCAGCATGTCCTGAACAGTTCCCGGTGTGCCGACAAGAATTTGGGCATTGAACTGTTGTCCCCTTCGTGACGGGTCGGGAATAGCAGCCATAGTCTTGAGACCGTCCATGAACTGACCCATGTGTGTAATGACACCAAGAATCTGACGGGCGAGTTCTCGGCTAGGCGCGAGTGCCAGCGCTTGCGGCTCGGGGTTCGATAGGTCGACGCGAGAGAGGATGTTGAGCGAGAAGGCAGCAGTCTTACCAGTTCCAGACTGTGACTGCGCGATCATGTTGGTGGGCGGGTTCATCAGAAGCAGAGGCAAGGCCTTCTCTTGAACTTTGGATGGCTGGGTGAAGTTCATGCTGCGAATGCCCTTGAGGAGTTCCTCGGAGCTGACATTGTTAGCTGGCCCGGTGGGTGAGCGCAGTCCACTTACAGATTCAGCTCCTCAAACGATTTGACGGAGTAGAGCGGGTTGTTGGGGTCTGCCTGCAGGTCGGCGAGCTTGACCTCGACATTGTACTTAGGCTCAGCCAGAGCAGAGCCGTTTCCAGGTGGACCGCTGCCATCGGTCTGAGCTTTTTCGAGAGAAGACTCCGGGGCTTCTTGGGGTTCTTGCGCGGGAGTCTCCTCGGTCGGCTCCTGCTTGATGGGGGTTTCTTCTGCGGCCGACATGATGGGCGAGTGCGGGTCGCGTTGCGGGCGGTGAGGTGAGGAAGGCGACCTTGGTGATAGTCGCGGGAGTTTGCTGAGCGGAGCGGATTGCTATGGATACAAAGTCGTTGCTCGCTCAAGGTGGTCTGGCGCAAAGTGTGAGGTAGCTGTGTTTGGTGCAGGTACAAGAGACGCGTTGGAAATTGTGAGAGCTCCAGTTGTCGACTTTGGCGGGGCTGAGGCGCTAGGCAGCTTTAGCGCGCAGGCCGCATGAACAGGCCCCGAGCATGTGTGCAGGCGCGACCGAGTGAAAGCGCTCAATAGCCCTGTTCCTGCATGCCATTGTAGTCGGCGTATGCCACTATTCACCACACCACATAATACAACGGAAACAGAAGAATACCAAGATCCAGCGTCACCAGCTCAGATCCCGGGTTTCCCTCCTCGGCACGCACCGCCTCGTTGCCATTCCTCCTGCCCCACTAATTGGGCTGCCGGTAACCAAGACGCCTGGTGTACTCCGCGTATCCCTTCCCGCCCTCGCCCCAGCACTCCTTCACCCTCTATGTCTGGGGTCCTAGTCCCCTCTCTCCACGTGCACGATCCATACATATCTCAGCAATCATGGAGGTCGACATTGCGCCCCAGTTTGGCGCCGAACTGAAGGTATGCGGAGTTGGAGCAGCACCTCCGAGCATGCGCTGACGGGTGATTACAGGATGGCTTCAAGACAGTCAACGCTTGGGTACGTCATACACACTCTCATACACTTCCGGGGGAGAACACACATATGCGCTGCCAGCTACGTGCCTTGCGCTTCGAGTTACTGACACGCGACTGCAGGTCTCCGGCGGCATCTCCTGGCTGGATGACATCCAGCAGTTCTACCGAGAACGGAGCGCTATCGAGAAGGAATACTCGGCAAAACTCAGCGCACTTGCGAAGAAGTACTACGAAAAGAAGGCAAAGAAGCAGAGCAGCCTCAGTGTTGGTGACACGCCTACTGTCACTCCAGGCTCGCTCGAGAGGTACGACTACCGTCGCATGAGGTTTGGGCGTTACTGACACATCCACACAGCGCTTCTATGACCACATGGGGTGTTCAATTAAGCACCCTCGAATCCCGCGCATCCGAACACGAACAATTCGCTGGCGCTCTCATCACCCAGCTCGCTGACCCCCTTAAGATCCTTGGTACCCGTACCGAGGAGCTGCGCAAGTTGCACGGAGACTATGCTGCTAAGCTAGAGAAGGAGCGCGACAACCAGTATGGCGAGTTGCGCAAGCAAAAGGGCAAATACGACAGCGTCTGCCAGGAGGTCGAGAGCCGGCGCAAGAAGGCGGACGGCGCATTTGACCACGGCAAGGCAAAGGCGCGAAATGCTTTCGAACAGCAACAGGTCGAGATGCGCAACGTCAAGGTACGTAGCATGCCAACTCTCACATAGCATACACTGACCACTGCAGAACACTTATCTGATCAGTATCAACGTGACCAACAAGCAAAAGGAGATGTACTACCATGAATACGTTCCTGAGCTACTAGACGTAAGTCAAGCCGTAATATCAGTGACGCATGGCTGACAGTCACAGAGCCTCCAAGATCTTTCGGAAACACGGGTTAACAAGCTGAATTCGATATGGTCACTCGCCGCTCAGATCGAAACCCAAACACTTACGCGAAGTACCGAGTATCTGAAGCATCTTTCTGCCGAGATCCCGCGAAACAACCCTCTTCTCGATTCGATGATGTTCGTACGGCACAACGCTGGCTCATTCCAGGAGCCTGGTGACTTCCAATTCGAGCCCAGCCCGGTTTGGCTAGACGACAGTAGTATCGCCGTCGACGATTCCGCGACGGTATTCCTGCGCAACGTTCTCACGAAATCGAAGACGTCATTAGGGGAGTACCGACGCGAGCTCGAGAAGAAACGTAAAGAAGTTGAAAACGCCAAAACGGTGCGCCAGAACATAAGGGATGGAAAGGACAAGAGAGATGAAGTGGACATCGTTCGCGCTGTCTTTGCTATACAAGAGCAAATGCATGAGGTGGAGAGACAGAAAGTCAGCGCCGAAGTGGAGGTTTCGACCATCACTTCAGTTGTCGGTGACTTGAGCATCGGCGCAAGAAACCACAACTTCAAGTCACAGACATTCAAGATACCTACGAATTGCGATCTATGCGGAGATCGAATATGGGGACTGTCCGCGAAGGGATACGACTGTCAAGACTGTGGCTATACGTGCCACAGCAAGTGTGAGATGAAGGTTCCCGCCGACTGTCCTGGCGAGCAGTCCAAGGTGGAGAAGAAGAAGTTAAAAGAAGAAAGGCAGAAGGCCGCGCATGCAGTGACAGCGACGAATGGCGCCGCGACGAGTTCCAGTACGAATCTGCCCCCACTGGGGAGAAGCGACACAGTAAACTCCATGAATACCCTCAGCTCTGGCTATTCGGCCACTGCGCATCGGTCAATATCTGGAGGCATGTCGCCCACTGCCGAGGAAACTCCACCACCACCAGAGAAGAAGGCGCCGACTGTACCGGGTGCTAGGAAAAACCGGCTAGTTGCTCCACCACCTACGCAATACGTCAAGAACGACGAGGACATACCTCCGCCCGCACCCAAGTCTGCAGAAGCGAAGGGTAGAATGCTTTACGCCTATCAAGAGAATGGAGAGGGCGAATTGACCGTTGCAGATGGTACGGATGTTACCATTGTAGAACCCGATGGTATGTAGTAGACGCTTCTGACATATCAGGTCCATTTCATCACTTTGCTAATACTCTGCCACAGATGGTTCTGGATGGATGAAAGTCCGTGCTGGCTTCAAAGAGGGTCTTGTTCCAGCAGCGTATGTTGAGATGACAGTCGCGACACCACCTACCACTGCTTCTACATTCTCATCAGCAAGACCTGACTCGACGTACTCTGCATCGTCGGCATCGACCACCAACTTTGCCGCGGCTGCCGCTCCCGGTAAGAAGAAGGGACCCGCCGTTGCGCCGAAGCGTGGCGCGAAGAAGTTGAAGTACGTCGAAGCACTCTATGACTACACTGCGCAAAGCGACGCGGAGCATTCCATGTCAGAAGGAGATCGCTTTGTTCTCATCAACATGGAGGCTGGTGACGGCTGGGCAGATGTTGAGAAAGATGGCGTAGTACGCAGTGTACCAGCCAACTATGTTCAGCAAGTCTAGATCACTTGTCTAGCAGCAGTTCGCGAGATGAGCTTCTTCTGATTGATTAGTTCGTTGTCTACAGCGTAGGAGTGTTGGAGAAGAGCTACCTGCATGGAGTATCGCTAAAGTATCTGTACATACCTGAAGGCATTATTCTTACCAAGTCTGTTTCTATGCGTCAGTGTGACTTGTGCAGTTGTCGCAGTCACAGAACATGTCGGTCACGCTGTGGCACTACGAGCCCCTGCATCTCGGGACGAATGTGGGCCCTGATTATTAGCGCAAAGCCTTTCCATCTCGTCACGTCGCTTCCTCCATCTTTCCCACATCAACCTCACCATCACGTCCCGTCGCATGAATTTCGCGTTCTACTAGAGGGTCCCATGATCATATTATACCTGATGTGGCCCGCTGCGCCAAAGCTCGTAACACACGACAACAGGGCTGCATAGAACACGAGCTTCGGGTGACCAGCGCGCTGCTACGTCGCTTACAACATGGCTGCTGAGTCGTCCTATGAACCTAGGGTACTGACACTCACGATAGTGACCAACCGCTGAATTCTGTCGAAAGAGAAGATTACGTATGCGCCCACACACAGACATTGGGCTTTCAGCTTGTTCACACACAGACGCCCTGATTCTCGACGTCTCCCATTGCCGGCGAAATTGCGCAAATCATCGTGAAGATATACGTATTTTGTATGCATTCTGTGCGACAGTAACATCGGGGTAACGTCACCGCGCATACTAAGACCCCAGGGCAAACCCGCGCCTATTAATACGGAAGACCGCACTACCGTCAGAACTGGCTTGGGCCACTCTTAGTACAGTCCGACCATTTGACTATCTCTCGACTTCCGCGCACGTTCAGCCTGTTCTCCGCACCACTTGTATCTTCTCGTAGAATACGGGCGCATCCGGTTCCTCCCAGTCTAACCAAAACTTCGATGTCGCACTGCATATTGACAGGAACTACCATTTTGAGTAGGGACCAATGCCATGCGCGGATCAAGAAGCCCTCAGGAACCCGGTGCCTCTCAGTCAATCGACGCTTTCGCCCTGGAGACACCACGTATCTCGCATTTGCTCTTGGCGCACTTTGTATCTGGACGCATGGCAAGCTGGCAGCGAAGGCGCACTCTTGTCCCTTCGGTACACGTACGTATGTAGGACAGACTGATAGCATGCTCAGATAATACCCAGCTGCCTATGCCACGCAGCTCGTTCACTAGCCCGAAAGGTCATATGAGCGAGCCTCCTTTGAGAATGGTAATCTCCCTTTTGATTGTCGTCTCCGCCGTTCGTGTTGTTGAATGATTGCCATATTCACATTCACTCTTTTGAACGCTTTTCTCCACAGCTAAGATATCTAAGCGGTGTATGCACTCTCTTCGCCATACCAGACACTCTTTCCTGTTTCAGCGACGATTTTCGTCTATTTGCCGAAGAGCTCCAGAACGCAGCAGGCGCATATCTAACTCATTGCTCCTTCTTGCCCAAACGGAGCAGCCACGCTAGTGAGACCCCGTCTTGGCGCCACGGTACAAACAATACTCACCTCACCTTCGCTCTCGTGTCTTCCCACTACGCTCGTTTCCTGAAAGCCAGAATCGACTCAGTCGCCTTCACGCTTCACCGGTCATTCTTTCGTGTCTTCACCCGGAGTTTTATCTCCATCTCGCTCCTTAGGCACTGCCAGTATCCTTCTCCGCTACTTCCCCGTGTACTTCACAACAACAGAAAAGCCGACAAAATCGAAAGCAGCACCGCGACACCGATCGTTCTGTCAAGAACTTGGAGGAAGTAACTGATTAAAGGGAAGAAACGGTCAGTCGCTT